CTCCCTCCCTCCCTCCCTCCCTCCGTCCCTCCGTCCCTCCGTCCCTCCGTCCCTTTCCCTCATCCCTTGCGGACTCGCGGACACGTGTGTGCACCTGGCGTCAGGAAACACGGAGGGCAAGCAAGAAGCAAGTAGTATCTTTGTAGTTTGTAGCTGAAGATACGCACAAGGTGTCATGGGGCAGAGAGACAGAGAGAGAGAGGGAGGGAGGGAGGGAGGGAGGGAGGGAGAGGGAATGAGAGAGGGAGAGAGAGAGAGTCGGGGTCGACGGGGACGGGGGGGATGAGGGGGTGGCTTGGCAACACCGGCGGCGCCCCCGTGCCCGGGCCCGGGTCGCCTGCACTCCGCCGGCAGCAGGGAAATATGAGTATCAAGGTAACGCAATAAAGCTATAACTCCTCCGCACTGCCGACTCCATCATGCACCCCGCTCCTACCCCGCCCCGCCACGCCCGCTGCTCCCGGCGCCCCCATCAACCACATGCCAGAGGATTCTATACTCTCAATACGCGACGCTTTTGACTTCCCCCGGACCCCACCCTTCTTTTCCCTAGCGATATCTCTCACTATAAACCCCTTCTCTCCTTCCATTGCTCTCTCTCTCTCTCTCTCTCTCTCTCTCTCTCTCTCTCTCTCTTTTCCCCATGTGCTCTCCCCTGTAGGGAGTGGCGTGGCGTGGCGTGGCGTGGCGTGGCGTGGCGTGGCGTGGCGTGGCGTGGCGTGGCGTGGCGTGGCGTGGCGGGTCCTATTGGGGCGTGAGAGCGGCCGGGGAGCCCGAGGGGGAGCCTGCCTGCTCGTCACGCCCGGTTAGTCAAAGGAGATTCAGGAGCTGAAGGGATCATAGTGAAAGGTGCCGGTGTGTAGTTAAGCTTTGAAAGTGATAATAGAATCCGAGAAGGGTGAGGGGCGGGGGTGAACCTCCAAGCAGGCGCCGGTGGTACTCGGTGGAGCGGCTGGGCGTGAAAATCGTCGCAGTACCGGAGGCCTGTTTACGCTATGTATAGAATATGCTGGGTGAAAAGTAAGACCGCGCGTTAAGGCCCTGCGGGTTGAGTACCGCGTCGTCCTTTTTAGCGGGATATAAGTAACTCCATTGTCGTGCTGGTTCTTCACGAACTTATTTGTTACCCCTGAAGCTTTACAGAAGCCCCCGTAATATCTGACGAAGTATTGTTCACGTCAAAGTAGTACATCTGTTGTCGGCGTACCTCATGGTGAGAGTTGAGGCTGTGGCAGGGTGTGGAGAGAGAGAGGAGAGGGGGTGGGGGTGAGGGTAGGGAGCTGCGGTCGGTGTTTAGCGCCTCGCCCGTGCGGCTCGCGTGCCGACCCTAACCTCACCCGCACGCGATAGCGCCCAAATAGCGCATCACTCGGCAGGCCAGGCGGAGCAGGGGGCAGAAGTGGGGGTCAAAAGTGGAGGGGCATCGGACGGG